AACAGTCCGCTCCATCCTCCTTTATGGCTGTGAGACATGGCCATTGAGAGCAGAAGACATGAAAACATTAGCTGTGTTCGATCATAGGTGTCTGTGTTCCATCTCCCGCGTGAAGTGGTATGATAAGGTGAGCAATATTGAGGTTAGGCCTCAGTCAAGTGCTAGGTAAGGCGGGGAAATCAGTCGACGAGACTGTGAAATTACATCGACTGAGATGGTTAGGACATGTGTTACGTATGCCTAGTCATCGCCTTCCTCGACAATGGGCAATGTTAGCTGATATAGGGTCAGGCTGGAAAAGAACTAGCGGCGGTCAAACGAAAACATGGCTTCACCAGTCAATGAAATCTACAACAGTTAGTCTAAGCCAGCCACGTAGGAAGGTGTAGACTGGCTTCCTGGTTGGGGTCCTCGGGACGGTAAAAACCAATGGAAAGTTGCAACCATCTCAAACTGTTAATGGATGGTTTGCGGTCGTCTTTAATTTGTGGACGTTAAATAGAAAATCATTTAGGGTAGACTACATCAATACATTGAAGCCTTTTTTTCACTTTCGTATTATATTAATCTACCTGTAATCTAAGTTATCTAGCAAGAATCATTCGGCGTGAACCAGTTATTTCCGTTTGGCTTACAATATTAGGTAAGGAGGGTTAGTTAGTCGATGGAGTTGTGAAGTTACATCGACTGAGATGGCTAGGACAAGTGTTGTGCATGCATAGCTATCGCCCTATTCCATGAGCTATGTTAGATGATATAAGATTAGGTTAGAAAAGAATCAAGAGGGGGGGGCAAAACCTAATATCAGTCCATGAGGTCGTTCACAGATGGTTTGAGCCACTTAGGGAGGTGGTGTTGACTGCCTGGCTTGGGGTCCTCAGGATTCTAAGAACCAATAGTTGGAGACTATTGTTGATATGGCTCAAAATCATTTCCCTTCATATTTCTCCTTATTATGATTCTTTCGAACCTATTTTTCCGCACTTTTGTCTACCTCGTGTGCTACACAGAGTGTAGGAGCTTGAACTGCAGCACTTCTGTCCAATGTTCTATGTTGAAACTCAGTCAGTTCGGTTACTTGCACTACCGATATTAAACTATGCACAGAAGTAATGAACTCAACACCAGATAATAAAAGATTAGTCACTGTTTATACCACTCCTTTCGGAACCGATTGTAGCCATTCCTTTTTTTGCAATAATAAGGCCTAGTTTTCTACTTCTGCAGTTGCATTGCTTAATTACACTAATTCAAATATTTTTTGCTCTTCATCTGAATTAATTGATTTCGTAGACAATTGTACTTCCTGGTAACATTCATTTTTGTTTACTGTCTACTCTAACGTTGTATATTTGGCAGGTCTACACTGCTCTAGTCTTTCAGTAAGCATCATTGATATGATCCAATAAAGAAGGAAAAACGAAAAGCTCAAAATCGATGAGGAATCAGTGAGTGAAATTTACCTTGTGGATGACCATTTCTGCTAAGCGATGCAGAATTCGCCTTTTAGACACAAAAGTCAATCTATGAAGACAGATTTGAATCCTTTTCTCTTATTTCTATCTTTTACTAACCCAACTTTTAAATAGACGAAAGGAAAGTGTATATATTAGCCGTTGCTCTAGTAACTTGATTTTTCATGCTCGAGAACATCTCCCATTATGGCTAAGTAAGGATGTAGTTAAAACCACTAACAGTTCGATATTGGACCATCTGGTGCAAACCGGCCACAAAGCCAGCGTGGAAGAATCCTTCTCTATAATATACCGGGTGCCTAACAAATTACCAAAATCATCGAAGCACCGCATGCTTCAAACAACAGAGGCTATTGCAATTCGCCTCAAACAACCAGTGTTCAAACGAAGCAAGTCCAGCCGCTACTATTGCCCTGGCCTTCAGTAGAGACTATAAATTCATGAATTGGTAATAACATCTTTCCCAATTTTTATGACATTAAGCTTAATGTTGAT